TGCATTGCCTGAAAGTTTACAGGAAAAATAAAATTGTATGGGTTTTATTTAATCAAGATTCCACTGTGGCCTGGTATTTAAAGCAAAAGATCTATGAGGGAGAAGGAACGCAATGTTTCAATAACAGATAAATCATTGGCTGCTTATACATTTTTTATTATGGTACAGAGCCAGGGAAAGGATCAGGTGAGATCCTGATGAACAATACAGATTTCCAAAGAAATCCACCCATGTGATAGGCCTGATGTAAGTTATATGCAATACGTAATTGCCTTGGTTGTATTCATAAGAACAGATCTCACTATAAATCCAGTGTAGCTTTGCCAAGGCAGCATTTATTGTACTATGGAGGTGTTTTCAAGAATAATTTCTGCTGAAAATGTGAAAAATAAAAGGTAAAAAGCCCTCCCATCACCCTCACCTTCCCATTGTAGTGCCTCTCTTGCCTTATTATCAACAGTAGGAAAACTCTCCAACGTGAATGTGGTCAACCTCACCTAAAAATAGAAAAGAAGCAAAAGGTTTCCAAGAGACACTGCTACTCTAGAAAACATGCTGGCACCTTCTCTTTGCTAGCCTGTGAGAAACAAGCCAGGGCAACTGTGGCTCTAGCCAGCACACTGAAAGAAGAGCATGTAGGTCTAGCCTGTATGGGAAAACTACCCCAAGCACTCATTAAAAAAAGTTTATCTATTGAACTTTAAAATAATTTGGAGCCACACCACACACAGGTCCAAACTTGCTCCAAAAATATCTCATTAAATAGGATTCTGGCCATCTGGAGCATGGTCTGTACTACAATTCAAACCAGTTAGAATTTGGGGAAAACTCCCTGAGTGTAGAACAGACCTCAGAGAAATGCCTCACACCAGCAAATAAAACATGCAGAGACAGACCCTCAAGAGACTGGCAAGTTAACATAAGGCAGGCAGAGTACATTAGCTGAAAAACTGCTCCATCATACAACATCAACAGCACAGGATGCCCTGCAAGCCTTGCACAAGAAGCGAAGGATTCAGTCATGGGTGTGGGTTGTTTTTTTGTGTTGGTCAGGTTTGATTTTATTTCAGAATAAAGGCTGAAGTTTCCAAAAGACACAAAAGAGAGAGGTGCCCATCTTCTACTGAATTTCAAAGGGAACTCCTTTTTGCTGAATGAATGTGAGCATTAATATTCCAGAGTCCATCTGATCCTCTCAGGCTCCTGTGGGGTCTCAGCACAGGACAGCACAGCATTTGGGGCCCAGTGACTGAAGGGAACTAGGAAGGAGAGATCAGGTGTTAAAAAAGAAGAAAGGACGAGGGCAGCTTTGTCATCATCAGTGAGGTGGGTCACAGCAAAAGGGAAGGAGCTTATCAAGGAGCCAGTTTAAAGACAGTATTTGAGGGAATTAGATGGGGCATGGAATACATTGGGGTAGGACTGGATTATGGTTAGAGCTGGATGGTAGGGAGGAAAAGGGTTAGAGGGACATGGGCATCATTGTTTTAATAGGCAGAAGCCTTCATTCCCCTGGAATCACAACAACACCACTCGTTGGCAAGAGAGCTCCTATCAACCGGGAATTTCCTGTGGATAAGATTGGGTTGAATTTTTCCATTTCAGTGGCTGGGGAGCACTTGCAGGAAAGGGCTCTATATTCATTATCTCCTAAATGTTTCATTTGAGCTATGCATGGAAACGTTGTGCTATGACTTAAAAGGCAAGAGAAATAAATAGGGGTGCACTGTGACAAGAAGTGCAGAAAGATGCATGGACATCATAACTATACCCCATGATGCAAGATAGAGGATGGACAATAGCGTGAATTACTCACGAATGCTGAAGCCCAAGTGAGTTATACAGCTGTTCCTGAACTAGTGCCAATAAAAATTGTCCCGCCAGCACTGAACACCACCGTAATCGGGGGTGGGGTGGGGAAGGGAGAATGAAACCTTTATTTGGCAAGCGCTTTCAAAATGAGAAAGTGGCTGCTGGGAGCTGTTTGAGGGGTTGGGATGTCAGAAACAGTTCCAGGGGGACAGATCAGCAGTCAGAGTGCCCATGAGGCCAGCAGAGATTCTGGATGGAACGCAGTCTCTCAGATGGCCACCTCCTATATAGCAAAGCATTTCCACCACATGAGATCATGGCAAGCATGCCACACGCTGCTTTATTTCTGAAAATATGGGGTCACATGTGATCAAAGAGGATAAACTGCATTTTTTCTGTGCATTTGACTGTCCTACCTGCACTCTGACTTTCTAGAGCTCCGGCTAGATCCAAACAGCTGGAATATTGATAAACTAAAAAGTAAAAACCTCCTACAAAAATGTTTTCTGTCCTTCTCCACTAAAACATGATGGATCAAGGATTAAATGTATGAAGATCAGATTCAATTTTGAACCAGAGAGAGATTCAAGGTCTGATGCCCAGTGAGAAACCAGGACTTAAATATACTTGCTGCAAGTCAGGAGAGAAGGGGACTTCAGGGCCTCCAGGGATATACAGAAGCTGTTATAGCCTTTGCTAGTTAAACACAGCAGATATTAAAACCATGACAACCTCACATATACATACATACATACATAGGAATACTATTCTGGGTAATGTTTAAGGCGTTAATTATTTTTCTGCCATTCTAGCTTGCAAGGTAGAGTGATTAAAAATAGTAATTAAAAAAAAGTCACAACATTTCTAAGCTAGATCTTTTTGGTTAAAGAAGTGTAGCCCATACAGGATACAAGATAGAATGGTATAAAGGTTTCATTAGGACTCAGACTCGCACAGGATTGCTGATTTAATGTGCTTGTAGCTTTGCTAATTATGAGTAAGGCAACTATCCTAAAGTCATCCCAATACCTCCTTTGTATCCCAGCATCTCATGGCCTTAGCATCTCTCATATTTGACCTGACATGTATATGTCTCAGTTCTGCAGACTTTATTCATGAAAGTTGTTGTATTCCCTTTACTGGGCACAGGTCTCATAAACACATGCTGTCAAACCCGGTCTAGAGAGTATATAATATGTGTGCTTGAAAGAGCTAGTAGTGTTAAGGGCTTCCGTTACAATCCAATTTTCACTTGCTCTTAACATCAAATACCATCTCATTTTGGTGGATCGGAGTGAAGGGCTTTATTTCATTTGACAAAAGCTATTCATCATCTTAACATTAAAGTGAGAGTAAAAAAATGCTATTTCCAGTGAGAAAAAAAAATGAAGACTACTCAAGTCATCCTACTATCTGCCATCATATCCACTCAGCAATCCCCTTGCATCTGCGAGGAACCCAAGCGACTTCAATGGTGCAACTTGGATTAGGGTCTAGCACCAGGGTCCCTTGGCCAAAGCGTGTGGGTGAGGGAGAAAGGCCTCAAACATGCAATCAAAACTTGCATGCCAGGAAGAGCCCCTGGGGTGTTACTGCAAAGAAGTTACTACAGACCCAAAGGCAGCTTCGCATTTGAGAGCCTAACTTCATCCTGAGAACAGGGCTGGTCCCCTGTAAAACCCCTTGTCTCCTGTGAATTCAGAGAGCTGCCGAGTGGCTCAGGCTGCAGGATGCGGGCCCAGAAAAGCCTGTGGACAGCTAGCTCTTGCAGACAGTGGGCTCCAGGCCCACCTCGAGTCCAAGCAAACAAGCCTACTGCTGGCCTACACCTTCAATGAGGGAGGCTGCAAAAGAGAGAGGCAGGGTGGGAAACCCTGCACTTAGCCCCACTTCACCCTCTGCTCTCAGCCCCCGAGTGACAGCACCATGGGCCTATGGTGCGGCCCAGTCCAAGGCAGCCCTTATGAAGCCGCAGGACATTGCCCTGGCACTGCGATGGGGACACGTGCTCAGAATGGGGGCATGTGCTCGGAACGTGGGCACACATGTGCCCAGAACAGGAGCGCACATGCCCAAACGGGGACACGCGTGGGTGCTCATTCCCCTCCCCCCCAGCTAAACGCCGCGCGCAGTGCCTGGCCGGGCGGTGCGGGCCGCGCTCTGCCGGGGGTGCTGCCGGGCTCCCGCTAGGGGGCGCAGCGCGGGGGAGCCCGGGCCGCCGGCGGGGAGCAAGCGCGAGGCAAAGGCGGCGGCGGCGGCG